CGAAGGCGTGGTGGCTCGGCGGCCACATGATGTGGACGGCCGCGACGGCCGGCATCGTCCTGGTGGTGCCCGTCTTCTTCATGTACGAGAAGGAGTGCCAGCTGTTCGAGCAGATGGCGCAGATGCAGGCTGCCCAGATGAACGCGCCGCTGCCGCCCATGTGACCGCCCGCCGCTGGCGCCAGCCTCGCGCGCGCGCGCCAGAGCGCCACGCACAAGAGGCAGGGCAGCGCGGTCGTGACAAGGAAGCGCGGGGGGGGGGAGGGGGCCTCGAGGCCTGCCTCTCGTCCTGTCGGGAGACGAGAGCTGATCCACTGACTGGTCCTGGCCCGTGGCATCGCTCGGACGTGTGCGTTTTGTGTGGCGAGGACCACTGAGGAGCAAGGTGTATCATCTCACCAGACATAGCACGTACGAAGCCGAAACATGCACGGGGAGTGGACGTCCGAGCAGTGGCCAGGGCTGGGCTCTCCTGACGTGGCCGTCGAGGCGCAGACACCAGTCTTGGCTGGCTCAGCCAGGATCGGCGAGGTGGTCAGTGGACGCCCCCCTCAGTCCTACACGTCGGTCGTTGAAAGTAGTTAGCGCCATCAGACTTCGAGAATTGATATGCTTTTGCTGCGATTGTGTTTCCTTCAACTGTTCTGGAGAGCGTGGACTGCATCTACTTAATCCGCCTTCCGACAGTTAGGTGAATACTTTGGTAGTGAAAATTCTGACCAGGTGGGGTATGGGTCAGTGGTGGTAGGGGCGTGGATCGCTCTACCCGCCGCCTGAAACGACGGCCGTCACATCCCCGCCAGGGCCGCGCGCGCTCTCACGAACCGCGCCCAAGGATGAACCCACGCGCTCACGAACCGCGCGGGCTCATCCTCAGCATGCTCATCCTCTTCATCCCCTTCATCCTCCATCTTCCTCGTCCTCCGCAGCCTCATCATCACAACTCTCCGCCTGTTCAGCTCCCCCAGAATTCTCACATCGCCCTCGTCAGCATCCTCACCCTTCTCATCCGCATCCTCGTCTTCCTCTTCCTCCATACTCATCGTCCTTAGTCTCGTCCTCCACATCCCCTTCGTCCTCGTTCTCATCATGGTTACCACCATCCCCATCTCCATCCTTACATGTACCCTCATCCTACATGTCCTCAGTTTCCTCACTTCCCATTGTCCTGATCCTCCTCACTGTCATCCTCGCGGCCAAGAGGGGAGCCAAAAGGGAGCCAAGAGGGAGCCAAAAGGGAGCCCAGAGAGAGCCTAAAGGGAGCCATCTCTTACGACGCCAACCGACCGACCGACGACCGCGACGACAACCGACCGACAGACGGACCACGACAATCAGCCGACCGACAAGCCGACAAGCGCATCGACCGACCGATGGACGACCGACGACGAAGACGACGACCGACGACGACCGACCGACACGACCGACGACCGACGACGACGACGACGGACCTATCGACCGACCGAGGACCGACGACCGAGGACCGACGACGACCGATCGACCGAGTAACCGACAGACGGACGGACTGACCGAGACGACGACGACCGACGACCTACGACCGAGCGACGGGCCGACCGACCGACCGACAACCGACGACCGAACCGACCGACCGACCGACCGACCGAGACGACGACGAGACGGACCGACCGACCGACGACCGACGACCAGACGGACGGACCGACCGACCCACGGACCGACCGACCGAGACGACGACGAACGACGACGACGGACGGACCGACCGATACATCGACAACCCACGACGGGACCGACCGACCGACCGACCGACCGACGACCGGACCGATCGACCGACCGACCGACCGCGACGACGAACGAAGACGACGGACGGAACGACCGACACACCGACGACCCATGATGGGACCGACCGACCGACCGACCCACCGCTCTACCAAGACGACGACGAACGATGACCGACCGACTGACCGACCGACTGACCGACGACCGCACCGACCGACCGACCGACCGACGACCCGACCGACCGACCGAGACATCGCACGCGCACCAGCGCGTGCGAACAGGCAACGTTTGGGAACGAGGCGTGACTACAATGCTACGACCCCCCCCGCCCCCGGGCTCGTTTCCCACCACTCTCCCCACCCCATTTGTATTTCTATAACCCTAATCGGGGTGAGGTGCAAACGCCCAATATTTCCAGGGGTAGTGGTACCAGCGCCTCAGGCCTTCAAGAGAGATGGGTTCCAGCGCCCAATCTTTACGAGGGACGGTGGTTCCAGCGCCCCACGGCGTCGGTTCCAGCGCCCAACATTTACGAGGGATGGTGGTTCCAGCGCCTCATGCCTTCAAGGCAGATGGGTTCCAGCGCCCATCTTTTTCGCCGGGCGGTGGTTCCAGCGCCCCACGGCGTCGGTTTCGGCGCCCAATATTCACGGGGGATCGTGCTCCCAGGGCCTCATGCCTTCAAGGCAGATGGGTTCCAGCGCACACTTTTTGCGAGGTGCGGTGGCTCTGGCGCCTCGCGGCGTCGGTTCTCGTGCCCAGTACTTGCAGGGTATCGTGGCTCCAGCGCCCCATGCCTTCAAGACGGGTGGGCTCCAGCGCCCACCTGTTGCAAGGTGAACGGCGCTTCCTCCAGTCGCGCCTCTTGGGCCAAACAGGCTGCGGGCGCAATGGTGATGAAGGCATGACGCGTGCCCCCTCGGACGCCTCCGATTCGCGCATCTGCGCTCTAAGAGTTCACGACCAACAGTATTCACCC